CACACACACACACACACACACACACACACACACACACTTCTATATTATACATAACTCACACTAGAATAACAGAGTCCATTCTTTGGAGAAAAATTTAAAGATCAAATCCACTTATTTGGTACCAAGGACATAAATGGTTTTTAACCCTGACTTTATATAAAAGGCATCAAAGAACTCTTAAAAAACACTGGTGTCTTGGTCCTACTCCCAAGAAACTCTGGTCAACTGGTCTACAGTGGGGCCTAAACACATAACTTTTTAAAGGTCCTAACTATTGATACAGTAACACTCACTGAGATAGCCCCAGTCCATAGGACTTCTACAGTATAACTGGAATGATAAGATTGACTAATGTATAGGGACAAAACAAAACAATGCATGATCAGCTTTCCAATTGTGTGTTAAGTGTGTTAAGTGCTATCAGCATTCTGATGGGAGAAAAATCAATAGCAGAAACAAAATATCAGGCGAGGCTGTCGTTACTTCTGTGCTGATTGAACCAGCTTATTCAGCTTATTCAGGTGACTAAATGGACTGCGTCTTTTGTCTTGCTGAGCTTTTTGTATGTTTTATTGCCCTTGTCACCAATTACTCAGAGCATTTTAACAGTCTTCTGTTACAAATCTATAAGTATAAATATAAATTGCCCTCTTCTATTATAAATCTCCTAGAAGAGGTGGGATCGTGGCAGACACCAAAGAAATGAGATGGGCAACAGAAAACAACTTGGCAGTGGCTTCTGAGCCCTGGGCCTGTAAGACCTTTGCAGGGAAATAGAGGACAGTTTTCACTTTAAACTAGTGACAAACCTATGCAAAATGTCCCCAGGAAACTGTGGAGGAAATTCCAGAATGAGAAAACAAGGAGGTCTGTTATCACTTTGTGGTGACATAGCTAAAAGACATAGAGCAAGTAATTAGGTAAATTACACTTCCAGTCAGCTCAGATTAAGGCCCTTCCTGAATGGCATTTTATATATTTAGCAGTATGCCTGACCTCCCTTGGAAATGTCAGAGGTAAGATAAAGTGATTAAATTAATACAGCAGGCATTCATTTGGTTTTACATCATATGATTGCAATATTAGCCCTTTATTCACACAAAACAGCTAGATGTCAAACACTAAAGAATAAATACACTTAATTACTTATTAACTGAAGAATTTAAAAGAATTGAGGAATAGATTCTTCTAATATTTTTTAACCTGAGTATGAGAATCAAAACAAGTTCTGCCCAAATAAACCCAATATGAAATAAATATAAATCATAGTACAAAGTTTTGTCTTCTTCAAAATTCAATACTATCTCAAGGTTGGAAGGCTTCCTTAAATTCAGGATTGAAGGACTTCACATGCTGTACTGTTTTCCTGTGAAAAATAGAAATATTCCATTTTATTAGTGCATGGAGGGATGAAGAAGCAAACTGAACATTTAAGCAATGGTGAACCCAAACCATGCTGGGTCAATACATTTGTTCTGTCTTTTGTGTTGGGGAAGATTTGTACAATGAGAAGAAGAAAAGGAAGGACCTCCCAAAAGGGCTTCCTGTGACTTTGAAAAGCTATTTCTATGTAACCACTGGGCCCACAGCCTAGAATCTTGAGTAAATCATCTGATCCAGGGTAGAGAAAGAGCATACATACTCATTTTTCCACAGAAAATCCCGAATATTAATTTAGCCAACAGTTCCAACTGTGCAACTCGTCAAAAACAACTGACAAGCAATATCTTAAGTTTCTTCTTTTTTTACTCCTTTCTTATCAAAGGGACCAGTGAAAATATTAATAGGTAGACTGAAGAAGGTTGGGGAGATGAAGGCTATGCCCTTGATTGATCATCTCCTAAATAACTGAAAATTAATAAGCCTTTAAGTAACTGCTTCACATTGGAATAGAAAAACATTCAATTAGGAGCTAGGACACCTAGATTCTAATTGGATTCTTTTACTCAATAACAACAGTTAAAATACCAATAAACAATACCAAATGATCAAGTTCTTGTTATGTGTCAGGCTCTGTACTACGTACTGTCCTTAAATTGGTATTTCGTTTGATTCATAACACTCATAACATCAATATTGTTACATCCATTTAAGATGAGGAAAGCAAGGCTTCAATTTGCTTGAAGTTGCACAACAGCAAACTAGACCTCAAGTTTTTTTGACTGAAAAGAGAGGGCCTTTTCTTTTTCTTCATTCAAAAATAATATCTACTTATGCCAGGTGCTATGCAGGGCTCTGGAGCTGTGAATGAACAAACACAGCACCTTCTAGTGGGCTGGAGTATCTCCGAGGCCCTCGTGGCTCAGTAATCTGTACTTCTGAGCCTGGTTTCTCTAGTCAGTGGTTGAATTGAATGTGTGTGTGCGCGTGTGTGCGCGTGCATGTGTGCGCGCGCGTGTGTGTGTGTGTGTGTGTGTGTGTGTATCTTCTTTCACATGCCCATGTGTGTCTGCAGATGGTGGTCAGGAGAGTGGGAAACATGTTCAGCCACTTGCGGGCCCCACGGAGAGAAGAAGCGAACAGTGCTGTGCATCCAGACCATGGGTTCTGATGAGCAGGCTCTTCCGGCTAAAGACTGCCAGCACCTGCTGAAGCCCAAGAGCTTCCTTTCCTGTAACAGAGATATCCTGTGTCCATCGGACTGGACAGTAGGCAACTGGAGTGAGGTGAGCTCAGGGGCTAAAAGGGAAGCTGGCATCATTTATGCCTCATCAGCACCCCCCGCCCCCAATTCATCGTTAACCAATCCAAGCGACTCTAGAGAAAATTGCACAGTGGCCAGCGTCTCTCATCCTTGGCCTGTTTCCTGCATTTCCCCCTGCCTGGTATTCTATCTTCTTGGTTTCCATTCTTACAGGATCTTCTTCTCACTTGTCCAATGGTCATATACCTGCCAGGGATGAGCTGGATCCTGTTTGCACAGGCATACAACAGCTAATTGATAAATGGTTAAGATTGTTTTTGCTGGCCCCATTGTGAAACCACTGGGAGCATATCAGGGCTCCCCACCCACCCCAAGAGCCAGTTTGTTAAACATTTACCAGTAGTCATGTTTCACTGGAACTACTGTAGTGATAAAATCAAAGGAGTACCACTGTAATGATAAAATGATAGGCGGTCCTCTTGACAATTGAAGACACCTCTCAAATCATCCGTCTTTTTGGCATGTGTCAAGGCTAGATCTGACTAAGGTTTAGGGCATCTATTAATAGCCACATAAATTCAAATTAGTGTTGCATTTTCTGAAAATTAGTCTGATACCATTTTCTGAGTATTTCTAGAAATCAGTGGGTAAAAACATCGTGAAAAATTCCCCGGCTTCAGTTTTCTTTGGGTCGCCATGGAACATGGCACAACCAAGCCTTGTGCTCCCAGGGTCTGCAGTGGAAGTTGAACCCTTTTATTTCCAAGGGTCCTGGGTGCTCCAGAGGCCCTGCTCTGCTTCCTCATGGGAATTTTAGTCAATGACCTAAGAAATGACCAGAAAATAAATGATCTTCTGAAACCAACAGCCAGGGCTTACAGATGGATGCTGACTTCTTATGCGCTTCCTTGGGAAACCACACGCTTTCCATGGAAACACTACTATTGACCAGGATATGTTAGGAAATCCTCATAGGATTCACCTTCAGAGAAATGGAAAACATTTTATTCAGAAAGTCAGAACTAAGTCTGATAGAAAAGGGAGTAACATGATCAATTTGGATAAAACCTTTGTGTTTAATAAGTGATGTTAGATTAGAAATAAATGAGATTGCTTTTCATAGCTTATAAAGGTACTCTGAAAGTATTGTCTAAAAAAGAACTTGAAAATTTAAATAAGCAAAAGTATCATCTCTGAAGATAATTAATGGAAAACAGAAAACGCTCATTTGAATGCAGCCACTTTGTTAACCTTATTTCCAAATCACTATTTCACTAGCTCATAGTCACAGTTTAGGCTTATTTTGCTTATAATTCTGTGCAGAATTCTCCCTTGGGCATCTAGCGAAAATTTTTTTTAAAATATCAAGTGTGGTCCCTATATTGTAAAACATCCTATCAAATTGGAAAGATAGCACCAAAAGACGGAAAGACAAAGGTACACATGCAAAGAAAACATACCTACAAACTAATATAGGTGTATTACTGATATGTGCACTGAGGCATGTGCTCATGTCAGCCCCAGGCCAGAATATTATTCCCTCTGCTCTTCCTGGGAGGTACAGTGATAGCCTGGGGCTGCCTGGACTATTAGTCCACCGCCAACCTAGATTGCTGTAAATTACAGTGTTGTCAGAATAAAGCTGAATAGGGTATTGTGACTGGTGCATTAAACCTGTTTACCAAAAATGTGTTGGCTGCATCCAAAGCAGTTAATAATTCTTGTCATGCAGAATTTACTAATTGACAGAATCTTCATGCTTTTTTAAAGGACCCTGCAATTACTTATTTGGCTGTGTTTGTGTTTATGAGGAGCCAAATGATGTGCTTTCACTGGAGAACAAAAGACCAAAAAGTTGGCACAGTGTGACAAGTACTCGTGTCTGTTGTTCCAAAGGCCACTGCATAGTGTATGGAGATAGCAGACACGGAATCCAGCTTCTAGCTTCCAGTTGAGGAAGCGGAACAGCAAAGGCTGAGCCACTGACTTCATTCAGGAGATGTGGTCAGGAGAGGTGCTTTTAGTTAAATCAGCATCAGAATATTCACCGAATGGGTCTTCCTTTCTTCTGTTAACTAGCCCTCTAATGAGCTTTGCTGGAATGTGAGGAAATATCTGACATTCTGCCTATGCCCATACTTTAAGAGAGATGATATAGTGATTCTTAGTGGACATAGCATTTATGGTCTAGATTTTGCCTTGAGACTGACATTGATTCATACAGGGTAGTGCCCGATCATTTGAGCTGCACCTGGCCATTTGAGTCTCTCTGGATGAGCCTGAATCTATCATGCAACTGGGCCAAAAGACTTAAGAGCTACAAGTCTCCTGGATTCCCGTAAAATGGTCCTCCCTAGGCTGACAAAGATGGGAAGAAAGGGAAGAGACAAATTCATGAGTTGCTCTTCCCTGTCAAGGCACCTCTGCCAACCCAAGCAATGAGAGAAGGGTGGGCTCAGCTGTGCCAGCCTGGTACACTCACCCCTGCCCCAGCCAATGGTCAAATGGGGGACCTAGTAAGTGCTGGAGCTGCCCCCTAGGACCAACCCCTCTCCCTCTAAGCTCAGGTTCTGAACACCTGACTCCTACCCTCAATCTCAAATTTCACCAAGAATCTTATCCTGAGTTTGCCCAACCTATTTCCTGGGCTTAGAGGGTGAATTAAAGAAGAAGGACTCCGTTTGTTGCAAATAAAGACAAAGTACCAAAGATTCCTTGCTCCCCTTTTTACTAGGTACTCCATTTCAGGGACATACCTTGTCAGAGGCAGCCAGGCTAGTGGTCAAGGGCATGGCCCCCTGGGTTTAGATCCCGGCTCTGCCACTTACTAGATGTGTGAATTTAATCTCTGTGGTTACTTCTAGTTCTCCTGTGGCTTGTTTTCTCCATCCATAAAATAGGGGTAACAGTAGTACTTAGACTCAAGGGAAGTGATAATGATTGAGTTAATATTTCTAAAGTTCTTACTAGAATAGTGCCCAGCACATAGTAAGCGCTTTACATATAATCTTTTGTTAGTAAAGTGAATGGATGGAAATAATAATAATGTCATCTACCATTTGTTGAGTGTTTTCCACACTATGTATATCTTGTCTCATTTAACTCTTAAAATAACTCCATGAGGTTGGTATTAGTTCATTAATTTCCCTATTTCCCCTGGCAGTTAGACGAATAGATTTAGTGGAATAGTAATTTCTCTAGGTTTTCCAGCCCTAATAAGCCTTAATGTTATGGCCTTGAGCTAGTAGTATTCAACTTCTGTCAGACTTTTCTTATTTAGAAAGACAGGGTTATTGTGAGGCTTAAAGACAATCCATGTAAGCCCTTCGCATAGTGCCTGGCAAATAGTAGGTGTTCACTAAATGTTAACTTTATTATAAGGTGAGAAGACAAGGGTTTGTGTTCCATGCTCCTCTAATTTTGCAAGCCAGTCCAGTCAATGGCACCCAAATGTCCTGATGGAATTGATCTGTGGCCCCTGCATTTGGGGGCCATAGATCAATAGCCAAGGTCAGGGCCATTGTATGCATGGAGCACTGGAAGCACAGGGTTTAAGGCTTACAACTTTTTCAAGGGCCTACAAAAACGTTAGAGACCTGAACAAAGGCTAATGCATTGCTTCCATAAAAACTAAAAAGATGCTGCAAAATCAGAAATCAATATTTAATTACATATTAATAACAAATATTTATTGGGCATTTAGTATGTGTATTAAACACCTTTACAGGTATTAACACAATACCTCACACCTCACAACGGCCTTATTAGCCCCATTTTTTTAGGTGAAAAAACTGAGGCATAGAGATGTTTAGAAACTTATCTAAGGTCACACAGCCTCCAAGTGATGGAACTAGGATTTGAATGCGGTGAACAGTGCTTTTACTCTGAACCCTCTGTTATACTGCATCTCAGAGGTCTGCAAAATGAAACAATATGACAGTTCTTAATAGTCATACAAAATATGTTATGATTGGAAACAGTTTGTAGATTGGCTTTTCTCACTTTGCTAGAATTCCAGACTCTATATAATGATTGTTGAGAAATCGAAGCCACTCAAATTAAATCTTACCCTCATCAGATATTTTCAAAAGCAAAAGAATAAAAGCCTTTCAAGTAGGTTTTACAGAAAAAAAGGTATTTCACTTGAGATTAGAGATACTTTTTAATATATTTGATGGGACGTGGAATGTAGCCTCCACAAGCAGCGGTGCCCAGGGTCTGTGAAGATCTTCGATCAGCCCTTTCTGTGTCTGACAGAAAGTACACAAACAAACAAATGAGCAAAACAATCCATTAGCCAAGTTACTGAGACTCTGTTAAGTGGCAAACTGTTCACTTGGATGTTGGAGTGCATGAGTGACCCAAGAGATTAAATGCCGATTTTCACAAATGTGTTCTCCTGGCTCTTCAGACAGAAGCACTGCGGCCAGCCCCAATGATATGTCTGCTGCTAAATGAAAAGCAAAGTAAAAGTCATGTGCAGTCCCAGAGGAGTTCCTGCTAACGGAAGGGACGCAGAGCATGGAAGGCTGGGAGACATTTCTCAGTCGCTTACCTTAGTATTTATTCCCCAACTTCGATTAAGGTCCAGGAAGCTCCTGTGGGGGCTGGACACCTGATGTGTTAGCCTTGACCACCCGCTCTTTGCCACCTGTAAGTGCCAATATCTCTGTTCTTTCCAGATGTCAGCAGCCCGTGCTTTGCCAGGCTTCCTGGAAAACACATGTGGGCCCTCTTGTTTCAAACAGCTACTCACAGTAAAACAGTTGGGGGCCACGTTGATTCTCTTCATCATGTTATATTTTTAAAAATTATCTAGAGTACTGTATTAGTTTCCTAGGACAGCCATATAACAATGTACCGCAGACTGAGTGGTTTAAACAACAGAAATGTATTGTTTCACCGCTCCGGAAGCTAGAAGTCCAAGATCAAGGTGTTGGCAGGGTTGGTTCCTTCTGAGGGCTGCGAGGTAGAATCTGTTCCATGCCCTCCTCCAAGCTTCTGGTGGTTTGCTGGCAATCTCTGGGGTTCCTTGGCTTGTTGATGTATCACCCTGACCCCTGCCTTCATCTTCACCTGTCACCATCCCTGTGTGTGTGTGTCTGTGTATCCAAATTTCCCCTTTTTATAAAGACAACAGTCCTGTTGAATTAGGGCCCACCCTGATGACCTCACTTTACCTTGACTACCTCTGTAAAAGCCCCATCTCCAAATAAGACCACATTCCGAGGCACAGGGGAAGGTCAGCAGGGGGTAGGACTCTCATATGTCTTGGGGGAAGGGCGGCCAGAATCCAACCTATAACAGGTACCCACGTTTTAGCTTACTCTCAAAGCTGGCTTTAGTATAAGATCCAATCATTCATTTAGAAATTCCTGAGACTATTCATTAAGTGTTTTCATGCCCAAAGCATTAGTTATTTCTCTACTCAGCCCTTTAGCTCAAACTCTCGGATATACCCCAAGTGTGTTTTTTAATAAACTTTCTCAACACTACAGCTCTGAGCCAGTTGTGAGCCCCCCTCCCCGACAGTGCACCTCAGGTCCGTGGAGTTGACTAATTTAGCAGCAGATCACTTTCTCAGCCGGTTCCCCCCAGAGGCTTTAATCTAGGAGTGATGGCAAGTGAGGGCAGGGTAGCTCCCAGAGAGGACATTAACAGACTGACAGCCTGCTTGCCTGGTACAGAGTTCAAAATGATAAGGTGAGGGCATAAGATAATCATTGCAGACATCGGTTTTGAGAATTCTGAAGCTACCAATTGAGATGAATTCTAAGTGTGGCTTTGTGTCCTGCATTTATCTCCTCTGAGGGTCTTGACAGCTCCTAAGGAGATAAACACAGTTGGAAGATGTGTTGGAAGACGTGTGGGCTGAATACAAAACAGGGCTGCTTTCTCTGGTGTGACTATGAGAAAAGACGCCTTAGTTTTTAGGCCAATATACTTGGTAGATAGTTTACGCTGTTCCGCAGGCACAGTGTACCCCAGTGCTAAGGAATGGCATCCATCGGTTAGTGGAAACATTCGCTATCTGCTGGCTTTCCTTACATCGGTAAGCAAAGCAGATGGGGAGGACTGGTCGGGGTGCTGGGGAACATCTCACACAGAATCGTGGCTGGGAAGCCCTTTGACATTCGCTGAACAGTATGCTGCCCCCATTCTCAAGAGCCCTGCTTTGGGGTCAGAGATACAAAACAGACAAATGTGAAGCCGCCAGGGAAGACTCCTGGACCCTTCATGTCCACGTGCCCACTGTTGGGTGGGTAACTTAAAATGTCATTGGAAAGGAAAGCTAAACATGGATCCGTTTGGTAAAAAAAATACAGATCTTTTAAAACATCTAGAAATTTAGTGTCATGTAGCAATGGCATGTGGGTTGCAGCTGGTGAGACTGATGAAGTAAATATTCTTTACCTTGAACCCGAAGAAGGGTTGTCCTGTTAGGATTCCGCCAAAGGCAATGGAGCTGCCTGTGCTTTGTCACGCCCTACAGAATATGGAGGGGACACTGGGGAGGGGCCCCTGCCATGGCCCCATGTATAGATCAGAACCATGTATATAGATCAGAGATCAGCACATGCTACGGGACGCACCTGACTCTGTATACGGTGTCTCCCACCTTTGATTAACTACTGACTTTTAAATTTCAGAAAAAGGTCTTGGTGATTGTCTAGCTTTTAATCTGACTCCATCTAACACAGGCAAGTGAAAATGGAACTTAGGGTGCCTGGGTGAGACTATGTGAGTTATAATAGGACTGGATGTTGGAGGGATGGGCGTTAAGGGGTCTTGCTCAGATGTTGGTATTTTTTTCCCATTGGAAATTGTGCCTTTGTTGGGGTTCAGAGCTCTGCGGCTAAGACGGCTGGAGGCCGCAAAGAGCTCGACATCCAATTCCTAAATATATAGGGAAGGTTTACGAGAACTAATTTTATAGATTTCAGAGCTTATATGAATGTTTTATGTTAATTTAATACTATCAAAACCCTAGGAAAGATATTATTACTAACTCTTAAAACAGTCAGGTGACATACTTAAATCATTGCAATCTTTGTGGATCTACCACAGGTTCAAAACCCCAGGAGACTTCAGCTGTATTATGTCATGGTTTGTTTTCAGTTTGTGGAGAGTAAGTGTTTGGTCCTGAGCCTTAGCTGGTCTCTGGGAGATACATATTTCCATGGGAAACGAAAGGAACACAGAAACCAAATGTAAAATGTCTATGTGCGCGAAAAAAGGAAATAGTTTTAGCTGCACAGCTCAGTTTCCTGTCCTGGTTGTTGTGAATCCGAGCATGACAACCAATGCCTTTCCCAGTAAACTAACAGGTATCTCTCTTTTCTAGTGTTCTGTTTCCTGTGGTGGCGGAGTGCGGATTCGCAGTGTCACGTGTGCCAAGAATAATGATGAGCCTTGTGACGTGATGAGGAAACCCAACAGCCGAGCCCTCTGCGGCCTCCAGCAATGCCCGTCTAGCCGGAGAGTCCTGAGACCCCCCAAAGTCATCATTTCCCATGGGAAAAAACTACCCACATCCGAGCAAGACCCTTGGAAACCCATCCCTCCAACGACATCCAACCCCAGAATGCTGACCATACCCATGGTGCCTGAGTCTGTGAGCACAAGTTCTCCGGCAGTCAGCAGCCCTAGTCCTACCACAGCCTCCAAAGAAGGAGACCTGGGTGGGAAACAGTGGCAGGATAGCTCAACTCAGACTGAACTGGACTCCCATGATGTCATTTCCTCTGGAAGTACTTCCCAGCCCATCCTCACTTCCTGGTCTCTGAGTATCCAGCCACATGAAGAGAACGTTTTCAAATCAGCCCCTGGTCCTACCTCAGAGGGAGACCTTTTAGCCACAACGATGAGCGGTTCTGATTTGTCATCTTCCAGCAACCCTGTGACTTGGCACCTGACTCCATTTTATGCTACTTTGACCAAAGAGCCAGAAATGGAGATGCACAGTGGCTCAGGGGAAGGCAGTGAACAACCTGAGGACAAAAATGAAAACAGCTCTATAATGTGGACCAAGCCCAGGGTACCTGGAAATGATGCTTCAGGGGAAAGAGGCACAGAAATGCCACTTGGACCTCTGCCAACACCTTATCTTTGGGGGGTGTCCTTGCGGTCACCTTTCAGCACAGTGGCAGAAGGACTGCTACCCAGCCAAAGGCCCACTGCTCTCAAAAATGGCACACCCAGAGCTGAGGGGATGGTCACTGAAAAGCCCCCTAACACCCCAGTCCCTCTGGGTGGAGACCACCAGCCCACACCCTCAGAAAAGCTGATAAACCACAACCTCCCAGAACTTTCACGCAGTGTGAATCTAACACGTACTTTTAGACCAGTCCTGACCGAGGAAGATGCCACAAGTCTGATTGCTGAGGGGTTTTTGCTGAATGCTTCCAATTACAAGCAGCTGTCGACGGGCCACAGCACTGCCTACTGGATTGTTGGAAACTGGAGTGAGGTAGGCGTTCCTTCCATGTCTTACCCCAGGCCTGTTTCCACTGGGTTGTCAGAAAAGTCATGACGTATTTTTTCTGTTTTTCGTTGCAAAAATGTGTCATGACTTTTCCAACAACCCAGTATTTGGAGAATAGTGACGGGTGTATGCATTCTTGTGCAAATTTTAAAATAGACATATGAAATATAGTCTAATGGGACATAAATGTGAAGTAATTGGGTTCATGCCCTCACCCCCCTTTTAACCTCCCTAACTGAAAAAAAAAAAAGTCCAAGGAAGAGAACAAACGTGAGCTACCGTGAAAAGAACAATGAACTGAGTCAGGAGGCCTGAGTCAGCCAACTGTGTGATAGTGGAGAACTCACTCCAATCTCTGTCAGGCTGCTTTTTGTCTGCCAAACAGTGAGCTAGTGTAGATCGTCTCTAACGTCCCTTCCACTTATAACTATGATTTTCTTATGACAGAGGACAACTAAAGGGCCTGAGTACAGATTTCATTCAGAAAGCTAATGCCGAGGCCTTAGTTTAAACTTGCCAAGTGATAACAGTTGCAATGGAAATCTAACACCACATTCTTTAAAAAAATTCTGTAGCTCACTGTATCCATGATTTTTTTTTTCTTTTTGGGCTGAGTTTTTGCTTATATGCAAAAATTCATTTGGCCCATTAAAAAAATTAGAATATAGAGGGAGAAGAAAATACATAATGAAAGAAATGTTGGCTCCTGTTTTCAGGCTTCAGGAATTTGGCTAAATATTTGTTTTTCCATTTCTAGAACCAATTCAGTCCTTTGAAGCATCAAAATCATTTCTCACCAATTGGAATTTTGAATGCACGGTATATGAACTTGTTAAAAATAATTTGACAGTTCAGAAGAGGACTTTGTGGCAAAATAAGTGCATGTTCAAACCATTGAACATTTTTTTATGATAATCCATGATTCCTTATCATAGAGAAGTGAAGAATTAGCCAGTAGTATAACAATAACAATACATTTAATTTATAAAGCATGTTAATTTTCAAACCACTTTTATATGTAATCTCTTAATTTTCTCCTTTTGACAGCCCTGGGGAGCAGGTAGGGTCTGAGTTATACCAATTTATAAATAGAAAAACTAAGACTTTTAATGGTTTAGTGACTTGTCTAAGGACACACTTGTTAGTTTGATGATGACCCTTCTAACCCGTCCCACTTTAATCTCTCTTCAGTGAATTTTAGCACCAAATGACAACGTTACTGTATAAATTATTTCTTATGAAATAACCAGCATCATTGGGCATAAAATTGATTATACTGGCAGTAAATAGAGAATTCAAACTTCCAAAAATTTTTGTTTGCATTTGAACTGTTTTCACATTGATTTATGTTTGATTTCTAAAGTAAGTTATCACATTTCCTGTCAATGGAGCAGCATTTTATTATCTCTATTTGCAAGTAAAGAATCTAGATTCAGGAGGAAAAAAAATATTTTTATGCTTAGAGTACTCCAATTGGTTGAAAAAAATGAGAGGAATGCATCTCATGATCCCTGACATTTTGGTCAGATTTCGTTTCATTATGAAAGTTCTAATGGGCTCTTCACAATGAGGAGAATGTTGACAGTGAACGTTTATAAGGTGTGTGCCATGTTTTATAGCATGATTTTATGCTAATTAACATGCATTCTTTCATTTAATCCTCACCACAGCCCAAGGAGATTGGTAATATTTCCCCCATTTTATTTTTATTTTTTTATTTTATTCATTTTTAAAAGATTTTATTGGGGAATTGGGGAAGGGGAACAGCCAAGTTGTTGTCCTTCAATCTTAGTTGTGGAGGGCGCAGCTAGCTTAGCTCCAAGTCTAGTCGCCATCTGGCCACCTGTCGGCAGCTCAGGGCAGCTCAGCTCAAGGTGCCGTGTTCAATCTTAGTTGCTGGTAGGCGTAGCCCCCTATCCTGAGCGGGAGTCTAACTGGCAACCTTGTTGTTAGGAGCACATGCTCTCACCAGCTGAGCCATCCTGCCACCTGTTGGCAGCTCAGTGGTAGCTCAGCTCGGGTGCAGCTCACTGGCCCATGTGGGAATTGAACTGGTGACCCTGTTGCTCAGAGCTCGCACTCTTAACCAACTGAGCCACTTGGCCGGCCTCTCCCCCATTTTAGAGATGAGGAAATTGAAGCTGAGAGAAATAGCTAGCCAGAATCACACATTCTCATGAGTGATAGAACTGTGATTTGAACCCCAACCAGACAGATCATAGCCTCTGACCCATTGCTTTGCAAATCAGAAAACATCACCACTCTTTCTGCCTTTGTTCTATTTGTTTCTTCTTTGGTTCTATGATATAAAAACAATGCCAGTCATCAGGTGACCCTGAGTAGGCAGATGAGAAAATCACAAAGTTCACAAGAAAGTATTTTGAAATAATATTGAGAGCTCCCTGGTTACTTTTGAGCTCACAGGGCCAAGTGGTCCCTATAATGTTGCCATAGTGGGTTCAGCCTAGATAGTTTGAAATAAAATTTATCTGTTTAGGTTTTTTGAGTGATGTTCTTGAAAGGATGTACATAAAAGTAGTACCCTCAAAACATATCTTCTCTTCCAAAAACACAGAGCAGTCCTAAAGGACAGATAAATAAGCTTGTTGTCTTCCATCCATCATAGCAGTCTGGGTAGTGTATGGCCTCTGCAAACTCAAAGACAGAGAGAGCACGTTGTGGAAACTTAGGCCACTATTTAATTTGCAGTATTTTGTTGATTAGTCAATGGAGATGAAGTCTGAAAGCACCTACAATTAAAGACACTGTGGGCCTTGAGAAGAATACAACCTGATCAAACGGAGTATGAAAGAGTAGATGATAAAGGTCATAGATATAGGATTGATATCAGAATAATCAAAGCATGAATGAGATGTGTGCAGTATATGTATGTAATTAGAAATATCACACACACATGCACACAACAGAGGCTAGAGCCAAACGAATAGAGCCAAACAAATTATGGGTCACCAAAACCGAAGTAGATTTCTCACTCACATACTAACTAATAGAAGGTAATTCCAGGTCTGCAATGGTGGTGATAGAGAATGATGCTCTGATGCGTGCAGTCATTTGGGAATCTAGACTGACAATGGTTCTGCCATCCTCCCATCATCGAATTTGCCCTGAGGTCACCATCCAGTCAGTTAGAAAGGGGAAAGAACATAGATAAATGCATTCCTATAAGGGGTTTTATGGGCCAGGCCTGGAAGGGGCATGTATTACTTCCACTCACATTCCTTTGTCTAGAACTCAGTCATGTGAGCAAACCAAACTGCAAGGCAGCTGGGCAATGTACTCTAACTGTGTGGCCAGGAAGAAGAGGGAAAGGCTTATGGTGAATATCTAGCAGTCTCTGCCTCTAAATGGCCCACCGTGTATGTAAATAGCTCATTCTGGAAACAGAGAGGATGAAGGATCTGACCTGTTGGGAGGTTACTGCAGTGGTCTAGATGAGGCACAAGAGCTGTGACAAGAATGCTTGGGATGAAGATGGGAAGACAAAGTTAAGAAACCTTTCGAACTTAAAATCGGTAGGGTTTTGTGAATAATTAGATGTGGGGTGTAAAAGGAGAGAGGAGGAGAGCAGTCTGTCATGACTATTCACGTGGAATCTGGGTGTCTATTGGTTTGAGCTTCTTCTATATGCTGAGACAATATATAGGAAGTGAGTCTCAGCTGAGACAAAGAAAGGAGAGAACTCAGCTATAGATCAAGTTTAACTGGTGGTGTTTCTGGGATATCCAGGTGATAATCAGAAGATCTTTGAGTGTGGGGGTCTGAGGTTCTTGAGAGAGGTGAAAACTGGAGCTAAGATTTGGTAGCCATGACCAGTAGGAAGAAGTTAGAGCTTTGAGAGTGAATGAGGTCAGCCATTAACCTGCAGTATGCAAAGAGGAGTGGGCCAGGAATGGGACTCTAGAAAGCATTAGCATTTTAAGTAGCTGGCTAACAAAGAGATTGCACATGGAAGACCAGTATGGAATAGTCTAATTTTTAAGATATAAACCAAGATGTCTAGGAACATAAGGACTGACAGTGGATCTAATGTATTTGACAGTTAGTGGGTCACAGGTGACTTTGGAGGAAGCTTCCATATTGAGACAGGGAGACACCAAAGTGCAGCCCACAGAAGAGACCCTTTAGGAGGCTGTCAGTCCTCAGATGGAAGAGTCCCCACATTAGAACTGTGAATAAGAATGGACAAGCCCTCAGTCCACAAGTTAATACAAAAGTTTCATTAAAAAGTAGCTTCAGGATGACCCAGAAATCAGTTTCCTCTCCCACCCTCTTTTCATCCATTCCCAAATCCAAAAGCAGTTGTGGAATTATTCACTTCAAATGTGTTCTAATGCTTTTGTCCTGAGGATATTTAATGTGTGAATTAACTGATAAGTGTTAATTGAGTCTCTGAGATTACTGTATCAAAATAAACTAAATGATAATAGAAGTACACATCAACCCTGATGACTATTAATTGATACATTTTGATCAACTAATTAGGCTACACAGAATTAATTCTATCTCAAATGTCATCATTTGACTTTGACAGAAATAAACTGTCTTGTTGAATACAAGGTAGTTCACCAGAAATTTGGCAACCATGGTGGAGCCATTGAGAACTCTTAATTCTAGGCAGTTTTTGCTGGAAAAAGGGAACTGACCCAGATTGTAGTTTCTCAACGCTACAAGAATAGTGCACAGTTTCACATTTGGGAGGCGTTTCCTTCATGACCTGGCTTGCTGCCTATTCCCTTTGTACATCTTTTGAGACAAAATGTTTAATACATAGATTTGTCGGAAAGGATCAGGACTCAGGATGAAAACGCTGGGTTTTGAGTTCCCCCTGCCCCTGATTTTGTGTTCTGCCCATTTCTGAAGCTGTTTCTTTAGGCTTGCCCCGCCCCTCCCCCCGCCCCCTTATAATAGCATCACTGGCCTCTCAATCACTACATCTGATATCCACTGTCACCACTGATATCAAT